AATTAGACCACTCGAACAAACTATGCTGAAAGAAGGTAGACTTTTCGACATAATTAGAGGCTTTCTTGTGGTTGAATTGCCCCATATACGGTGGTCCACGATAAAGGGACCGGTTTCGACCCGATCCCGCCAATCTTATCGATGAACTGATGGGCGAAATCCCCAAAGGCGAACTTCGACCAAGTGGCCCTTCTCAGGCCTTTTAGAAACGAAACCCAATGAGGGTATGGCGCGTGGAAAGGTCAGTCGAATCGACTATTCAACAAAATTGGGGGCTGTCGTCCAACCATGCTCCCAATCGAACACGGGATCACTACAAGGGCTTGTTCTCCTGAAATGCTATTTTTGACTGCTACACTGACAAGTAAGCCTGAGGAGAGTGGCTCCGTTACGGATGATCCATATACCAACCTACATGTGAACACATTATTGTCATGATTGAAAACTACTGGATTTGCTGCGTCTTCTAAAGTAACCTACGCAGTCACGCCCCAGATGATTGAATTGGCTGTCAGATTAGCACGAGTGAACCCTTCTGGGTTTCCGGTAAGTTCCAGTTCACAAAACTACAGCCCCATTGCATTAACAGCGATGAGCCCCTGGCTTAGGACAAATGCGTTAAAGACCACCGTTACCAACTACCATGCAACCATATAGTGTTGTTGCCTTTTGATGAAAGAGGCTCAAAGTCACGATAGTTACGGTGGAAGTGTGAAACGCGTCGACCACTAGCCCCCCGAGGATCTAAAGCACCAATCAGGAATATGTGGCTGCGTGAGATAATCATTATCGAAAAAACAGAAGCATAAAAATGTCCAAAAACGACTCTCAAATATGCTTCACAGCTTCCAAAACGTGGATAATTATTTTTAGAACCATTGGCGTACTCAGTGACGAATACGTTCGAAATCAGAACGGCTTTGATGAAGACAACAATTCAAGTTAAGAATTACAAAATAGGCATCAAGTAACAAATGTGTACAGCATGAAGCAAGTCGGACAAATCTGCCAGGACTGATGGAGGGAAAGTGGTAAATGTCTTTGTCCGACAAAATATGCTGAGATGTCAGGTTAATGGTGCAGGAATTTGTTCGTTTTTCTCCTAGTATGGGGAAGGAAGGTTGAACAATGGTTCAAGTCCTCTTCAAGCGAGCAAGACGGGCCTCCAGATCGTCCTCATCAATCGTACCGTCCATTGAGCCACTTCCAGCTGGTCCTGCTGGACCGGCGGGGGTTGGAATAGCTATACGGCCAGGAGTATTGGCCTGTCCAGTTGCGACTGTTCCGGATCCTGGCAGGTTGGAGAGTTGCTCGTTCATTTCGATACCCAGTTCAGCCAATACCTAGTGAGTTGTGGAGCGAGGGAACGCAGGCGTTCAGATAGTACATGGAAGATTAAAGCAAGCCAAATAATCTAACACGGATAAAAAAGCTTCCGGGGCGATCTGTCCACAAGACTGAGCATGTTCGCCTCAGCCGCAGGAATACAACAACCGACCAATGCATGATAGATAAGAAACACAACTGAAGCCTGCAATGCTTCTTCGGATGTTAGCTGGACGACTGCTGTAAAGCGTCTTTTTTGCCTAACCATTCAAGAGGTGAGATCGCGTAGAGAAAAAAGAGAACCGACGAACCAATCCACGTTGGCATCCTGGACAGGCAAACCAGGAACTCGCCAGTTCGAGATGTTTCCAGAAACAGCTGTGACATTCTGCGTTCGGCTTTCGATGCGTAGGCATCTTGCCAAAAGTTTTTTTCGCTTGTAGAGGTTGCAAAACACAGCTTAAACACGGTTCATACATTAGTTGGACAGTTTCATCTTAGTAACATGAGACCAGACTAAAACATAGCAGGAGGACCCAATGAAAAAATTTGAAGGTGGACATAGCTTTCACATTCTCAGTCATTCGCCAAGGCGATTAATACCCTTCCATATAGTCCAGCTTTAGACACGTAATTAGGACATTCAGGGCAGCGACCGATTGCACACCACCGTCCCACCTTCATCAATGAGATCTTGTTCCCTGTTTTTTGTCGCAACCTTCAATGCTCGAACCCTTAACTAGGCCTACCGAAATACTGCCCTTGCGAGCACTTTTGATTTTTCATCGACAGACACTTGCTATATTTCCGAAACCCGAGTACAAACGTCTAAGGATAGCTATTAGTGCTCACGATACATTTGCTAAACGCTATCAACTTCGAACTTCACTGACTCCTCAGCTGCCGTGGCGGATTGTACAGGTGTTTGTGGAGACCTCAGCTTCCAGGCTGAAACTTCTGTCGCCACCATCATCATTATCAGCTTTAAGAACTGCGTACTTGTAGTTGCCACAATTTCGTCCATCGATGATTTGAAGAGGTAAGGTAGGTGGCTGCGCATTGGAGGCGGGGGTTAGTAAATTGATGCGTAAGTACAGGTCTGTCAGTGAACTTTTAAGGAGATTGGGAAAGGAGCCATGCACTAAAGGCAATAGGTTGGATGCATGAACGCCATTAAGGGCGCGACTAGACTATGTCTGACAATGTCTCTAACCATTGATGTGGCCCGTCTCGGGGTCCCCACCCAGGGAGAGGACAATGACCAGCGCGACTGAGTTTGCTAGTAATGGCTTTCACACCTCGCTGCCACGTCATTGTTTGACTGCGCCAGATTGGATACCTGTAAACAGTCATTTCTGTACTGTTCGTCTGTCCACTTCCGTAAGGACTCGCACCGATGGAAATACTAGTCGAGTTTTACTAGTCTCTGGATAGAATGTGGTTGAACAAAAGCAATACACATTCCCAACCAGCTCAATATATCTCTCTAAAAATTCGGATTTGTCACCAAGTCTCCACTTACCCGCCAACTCACCATGCACTCACTGTAGCCGGCTAACAGAAATATGATGTCTAGGGTCCTTACTCCAAAGGGGGAGACAAGTCTTACAACGATAAAGCAAGACCGCCCTTACAGTTGCCGTGCAGTATAAAGCCCTCTGATGCCTGGAATGACGCAAGCTAGTCAATGCTAGTCGAGCCTTACTTATCGACGCGTTGGCTTCACCTGTTATTATGCCACCACAGCCTATACACTGCCATCATATGTGAACCGATCGATTCAGGTTCTTTATTCCTAAGTTTCGGGGAGGCACAAAGAGAATGGAACCACTTTGCACTTTAAAGAAGCAAAACGCTTGCCGAAACACGCAACCACCTCCGATATGCGTGGACAAAAAAAACTGTTCGGATTTTGTGGACAGCAAAATCCAAGTTCATTAATCTCTCTCCAGAATTGGTTTTGAAATACGGACTCACGACACCTTAACATATGCACTTAATGATACTGTCAGTGACAAAACCGAACAAAAAAGAGGGAAGGGGCAATCCTGACGAACCTAACCAAATGCCACTGAAGGTATGGAAATGCAAGACGAGAACATTTACGAATCAAAATGGCATCACAATCATCATCACCGACAGCATGGCATCAGTATTTAACATTGATGCTCCACTAAAGTACAACCATGATTTATTTGAAATCCTTATTGGGAAAAGAATAAAGGTGGACAGGGAAGGGACTTAGTGTTAGCTTACTACAGTCATTTCGAGGTGCCTACACCTCCAAGAACACATCCAGGCAATCTGGATAGAAACTGACATGAACGCCATTGACATCCACTAGAAGCCATATCTTACAGCGTCTCCAACCATGCGCAGTGGGGATCGCGCGGTCCCCATCCTGGTAGGCGATTAGCACCGACAGCACCCAAACGTTTCGTAACATCTTCCATACCCCTCTACCTGGTCAAGGGTTGGCCACCTCTCTGTTTCTGGCACCCTGAATGCGGCACAGAAAACAGCACTCTTTTCGGTGAACGGTGGTTCGGAATGCGCAATACATTGCTTAACCAATGCAGCTCCTGCTGCTGAACACAATCTTCGGTGGAAATTCCTGCTACAGAACCAGAAACTCGCTTTCGACTGCCTCATTACATATTCACCGACAGCAACCTACACGGGCTATGGTTCTGAGACAACGATTGCCGAACATCTGAAGACATCTCAGTTCATCCAAAAACACCCGCACCTTATTCTTTTAGATGAGAACGATATTGTCTGCATATTTCAGGCCCACAAGTTTTTCGTCAGAGGCTATTTGAATACCAGAGTTTTGAAGACCTTCCAGCGTTTGTCTCATGAGTTCATCGATCACGAAACTAAATAATGAAGAAAGTGGGCACCCCTAGTAGATACCGCAATATCACCCACTTCTCTCAGTTGTCTGAGACAGTCTCCTTTTACAGAATGCAGGCAAACAGATCATAAAGGTACTAACTGAAGATTTCACTTCCGTCTTCGAAAAATGCGGGTGGGAGGTCGTCTGGGCCAGAAGCTCGGTGGCGCTTGAAAGAACATACGCAGTCATAAACTTGCGACGCCGTAGGGGGCTCAACGTTCACTGTCCAGGGTGCTACGTCAACTGTAGGCTCCAGAGGAATATGGGTGGGCTACGAAGTATTCGGCCCACCTGTCGAGGCGTTCTTTATTAAAAGTGGTCACTCCTTTCCAATTCTTGATGGTTTCGCCCACAGGTGGTTTCCGAGGACCGGTCACAAGGAGTAACTGAAATAATCTTCAGATATTACCGGTTTTCTGGGCCTCTTTTATTTATTTGGCTTTCTGTATCCACCAGACTTCATGGTCGGCTCGCACGCTCACTTTCACTCGAAGTCTGATAACTCGTGGCGTTAACTTGTGTTTGGTTTTGAAGACCTTCCTGCGTTTGTCTCATTGTCTTATCGATCAAGAAATTAAATATGAATAGAGTGGGCGTCCCTAGCGGACACCAATTTGTGTCTGGGAAGACTCCTTTTCCCAAATACAAGCTGACAGATCAGACAAGCGTTGAATGAGGACTTCACCCCTTTCTTCTAACAATGCGATGTCAGGTTAATGGTGCAGGAATTTGTTCGTTTTTCTCCTAGTATGGGGAAGGAAGGTTGAACAATGGTTCAAGTCCTCTTCAAGCGAGCAAGACGGGCCTCCAGATCGTCCTCATCAATCGTACCGTCCATTGAGCCACTTCCAGCTGGTCCTGCTGGACCGGCGGGGGTTGGAATAGCTATACGGCCAGGAGTATTGGCCTGTCCAGTTGCGACTGTTCCGGATCCTGGCAGGTTGGAGAGTTGCTCGTTCATTTCGATACCCAGTTCAGCCAATACCTAGTGAGTTGTGGAGCGAGGGAACGCAGGCGTTCAGATAGTACATGGAAGATTAAAGCAAGCCAAATAATCTAACACGGATAAAAAAGCTTCCGGGGCGATCTGTCCACAAGACTGAGCATGTTCGCCTCAGCCGCAGGAATACAACAACCGACCAATGCATGATAGATAAGAAACACAACTGAAGCCTGCAATGCTTCTTCGGATGTTAGCTGGACGACTGCTGTAAAGCGTCTTTTTTGCCTAACCATTCAAGAGGTGAGATCGCGTAGAGAAAAAAGAGAACCGACGAACCAATCCACGTTGGCATCCTGGACAGGCAAACCAGGAACTCGCCAGTTCGAGATGTTTCCAGAAACAGCTGTGACATTCTGCGTTCGGCTTTCGATGCGTAGGCATCTTGCCAAAAGTTTTTTTCGCTTGTAGAGGTTGCAAAACACAGCTTAAACACGGTTCATACATTAGTTGGACAGTTTCATCTTAGTAACATGAGACCAGACTAAAACATAGCAGGAGGACCCAATGAAAAAATTTGAAGGTGGACATAGCTTTCACATTCTCAGTCATTCGCCAAGGCGATTAATACCCTTCCATATAGTCCAGCTTTAGACACGTAATTAGGACATTCAGGGCAGCGACCGATTGCACACCACCGTCCCACCTTCATCAATGAGATCTTGTTCCCTGTTTTTTGTCGCAACCTTCAATGCTCGAACCCTTAACTAGGCCTACCGAAATACTGCCCTTGCGAGCACTTTTGATTTTTCATCGACAGACACTTGCTATATTTCCGAAACCCGAGTACAAACGTCTAAGGATAGCTATTAGTGCTCACGATACATTTGCTAAACGCTATCAACTTCGAACTTCACTGACTCCTCAGCTGCCGTGGCGGATTGTACAGGTGTTTGTGGAGACCTCAGCTTCCAGGCTGAAACTTCTGTCGCCACCATCATCATTATCAGCTTTAAGAACTGCGTACTTGTAGTTGCCACAATTTCGTCCATCGATGATTTGAAGAGGTAAGGTAGGTGGCTGCGCATTGGAGGCGGGGGTTAGTAAATTGATGCGTAAGTACAGGTCTGTCAGTGAACTTTTAAGGAGATTGGGAAAGGAGCCATGCACTAAAGGCAATAGGTTGGATGCATGAACGCCATTAAGGGCGCGACTAGACTATGTCTGACAATGTCTCTAACCATTGATGTGGCCCGTCTCGGGGTCCCCACCCAGGGAGAGGACAATGACCAGCGCGACTGAGTTTGCTAGTAATGGCTTTCACACCTCGCTGCCACGTCATTGTTTGACTGCGCCAGATTGGATACCTGTAAACAGTCATTTCTGTACTGTTCGTCTGTCCACTTCCGTAAGGACTCGCACCGATGGAAATACTAGTCGAGTTTTACTAGTCTCTGGATAGAATGTGGTTGAACAAAAGCAATACACATTCCCAACCAGCTCAATATATCTCTCTAAAAATTCGGATTTGTCACCAAGTCTCCACTTACCCGCCAACTCACCATGCACTCACTGTAGCCGGCTAACAGAAATATGATGTCTAGGGTCCTTACTCCAAAGGGGGAGACAAGTCTTACAACGATAAAGCAAGACCGCCCTTACAGTTGCCGTGCAGTATAAAGCCCTCTGATGCCTGGAATGACGCAAGCTAGTCAATGCTAGTCGAGCCTTACTTATCGACGCGTTGGCTTCACCTGTTATTATGCCACCACAGCCTATACACTGCCATCATATGTGAACCGATCGATTCAGGTTCTTTATTCCTAAGTTTCGGGGAGGCACAAAGAGAATGGAACCACTTTGCACTTTAAAGAAGCAAAACGCTTGCCGAAACACGCAACCACCTCCGATATGCGTGGACAAAAAAAACTGTTCGGATTTTGTGGACAGCAAAATCCAAGTTCATTAATCTCTCTCCAGAATTGGTTTTGAAATACGGACTCACGACACCTTAACATATGCACTTAATGATACTGTCAGTGACAAAACCGAACAAAAAAGAGGGAAGGGGCAATCCTGACGAACCTAACCAAATGCCACTGAAGGTATGGAAATGCAAGACGAGAACATTTACGAATCAAAATGGCATCACAATCATCATCACCGACAGCATGGCATCAGTATTTAACATTGATGCTCCACTAAAGTACAACCATGATTTATTTGAAATCCTTATTGGGAAAAGAATAAAGGTGGACAGGGAAGGGACTTAGTGTTAGCTTACTACAGTCATTTCGAGGTGCCTACACCTCCAAGAACACATCCAGGCAATCTGGATAGAAACTGACATGAACGCCATTGACATCCACTAGAAGCCATATCTTACAGCGTCTCCAACCATGCGCAGTGGGGATCGCGCGGTCCCCATCCTGGTAGGCGATTAGCACCGACAGCACCCAAACGTTTCGTAACATCTTCCATACCCCTCTACCTGGTCAAGGGTTGGCCACCTCTCTGTTTCTGGCACCCTGAATGCGGCACAGAAAACAGCACTCTTTTCGGTGAACGGTGGTTCGGAATGCGCAATACATTGCTTAACCAATGCAGCTCCTGCTGCTGAACACAATCTTCGGTGGAAATTCCTGCTACAGAACCAGAAACTCGCTTTCGACTGCCTCATTACATATTCACCGACAGCAACCTACACGGGCTATGGTTCTGAGACAACGATTGCCGAACATCTGAAGACATCTCAGTTCATCCAAAAACACCCGCACCTTATTCTTTTAGATGAGAACGATATTGTCTGCATATTTCAGGCCCACAAGTTTTTCGTCAGAGGCTATTTGAATACCAGAGTTTTGAAGACCTTCCAGCGTTTGTCTCATGAGTTCATCGATCACGAAACTAAATAATGAAGAAAGTGGGCACCCCTAGTAGATACCGCAATATCACCCACTTCTCTCAGTTGTCTGAGACAGTCTCCTTTTACAGAATGCAGGCAAACAGATCATAAAGGTACTAACTGAAGATTTCACTTCCGTCTTCGAAAAATGCGGGTGGGAGGTCGTCTGGGCCAGAAGCTCGGTGGCGCTTGAAAGAACATACGCAGTCATAAACTTGCGACGCCGTAGGGGGCTCAACGTTCACTGTCCAGGGTGCTACGTCAACTGTAGGCTCCAGAGGAATATGGGTGGGCTACGAAGTATTCGGCCCACCTGTCGAGGCGTTCTTTATTAAAAGTGGTCACTCCTTTCCAATTCTTGATGGTTTCGCCCACAGGTGGTTTCCGAGGACCGGTCACACGGAGTAACTGAAATAATCTTCAGATATTACCGGTTTTCTGGGCCTCTTTTATTTATTTGGCTTTCTGTATCCACCAGACTTCATGGTCGGCTCGCACGCTCACTTTCACTCGAAGTCTGATAACTCGTGGCGTTAACTTGTGTTTGGTTTTGAAGACCTTCCTGCGTTTGTCTCATTGTCTTATCGATCAAGAAATTAAATATGAATAGAGTGGGCGTCCCTAGCGGATACCAATTTGTGTCTGGGAAGACTCCTTTTCCCAAGAAGCAATTGGAGAGTTCGCCGTATGATCACACACGTCCGGAAGTCTGGGAATACAAAGAGCTTATTATATTCACGAACTTCCGGGGCATTCTTTGGTGGACAAGCGTGTCAAGCAGAACAGACCGGTCAACTGAGTCAAATGCGCTTTGGAAATCCACGAAAACTAGAGTTGTGATTCGCTTATACGTACGGCGTTGTTCTAGCATCTGGCGAAGTGCGAAGAGTTGGTCAACACAACCACTACCAGGCCGGGATCCCGCTTGCTGCTTTCTAGTCAGTGTTTTACAAGCCACCATAGGGCGACAAAGCACCAATGACGCCAACAGTCTCTTTACGACCGGGGTCAAGCTGATCCCCCTGTGGTTGTCACTCGCTATGGCTCCCTTTTTGAAGATAAGAACTATCACCGACTCTCTCCAGTTGTCTGGGACAAACTCCTTTTCACAAATCAAGCGAAAAGACCAAACAAGCATTGACTGAGGACTTCACCCCTATCTTTGAACCATGCGGATGGGAGGTCGTCCGGACCAGAGGCTCGGTGGCGCTTGAGAGAACATGCAGTCCCGAACCTCTGAGGCCGTAGAGGCTTTCACATCTACCGTCCAGTGTTCCACGTCAGCTGTAGGCTCCAGATGAGTGCCAACTGGTGGCCACCGTAAATATCTTTCGAAATATTCGGCCATGGCTGAGGCGTTCATTATTCAAGATAGTCGCTTTGTTCTGAACTTTGATGGTTTCCCTCACAGACGATTTCCGGGGACCGATCGCAAGGATCATTTGAAATAATCTTCGAGGATTCCCGGCTTTCTGGGCCTCTTCCGTTTCTTTGGTTTTTCGTGTCCACTAGACTTCACGATGGGCGAGATGGCCCAAGTGGTTAGAGCGCGAATTTACTGACCGGAAGGCCCGTGGTTCGAACCCGACCTCTGCCTCTCGACCTCCCCTGTCTAAGCTTGGACAACCTGGCAGTATCCCAGCCCTCGTGCAAACTTCGGGTGGAATGGCAGTTAGGCACCGAAAGGGTGCTACAGCTGAACGAGACTTCACGACTGACTCGCACGCCCACTTTCACTTGACGTCTGATAATCTGTCGGGTCAAGTTATGTTCCTGAACGTCTGGGATACTTCTCGAGATTCAAGGAATGCCACCATTCGGTCCAATATCTGACGCTTGAGTGCGCCTGGTGGTGCTGTGCCATAAGCGAAATTCCAAGCACTAGGTAAAGAGGTGGCAATCTCGTCTCAGTATGAGTTCACATCTCATGTTGCGGCATTTGAAAGAGACTCTAGGTGATTCTGGTAAGTTCGTCTAACATCCGGATCTGTCAGCCTCTCAGTTGCCAAGCGATTTGTCCGAACCTTACGCGGCCCAAGAAGACGTAAGGAGAAGCGACTCCCGACAAGTGTCGTCGGAATCCACGAATGTGTTCCAAAACGATCGGCATCGATAACTGATTGCAACGCAATCGATTTGA